TGCCAATGTTCTTTCATACACTGTCAAGACCCTGAGTGAAACATCTGAAAATGTGGGCCGTGATAGAAACTCTTTGAAAAACACTAGAAATTCCTAATTTCGTTGCAACGAAACTACTAATATCCCCATTTGCGTCATTAAATAACACACTATACTGCCAATGTTCTTTCATACACTGTCAAGACCCTGAGTGAAACATCTGAAAATGTGGGCCGTGATGAGAAATTCTAAGAAAAACACTAGAAATTCCTAATTTCGTTGCAACAACTACTAATATCCCCATTTGCGTCATTAAATAACACACTATACTGCCAATGTTCTTTCATACACTGTCAAGACCCTGAGTGAAACATCTGAAAATGTGGGCCGTGATAGAAACTCTTTGAAAAACACTAGAAATTCCTAATTTCGTTGCAACGAAACTACTAATATCCCCATTTGCGTCATTAAATAACACACTATACTGCCAATGTTCTTTCATACACTGTCAAGACCCTGAGTGAAACATCTGAAAATGTGGGCCGTGATGAGAAATTCTAAGAAAAACACTAGAAATTCCTAATTTCGTTGCAACGAAACTACCAATATCCCCATTTGCGTCATTAAATAAAACACTACCGCCAATGTTTTTTTCATACACTATCAAGACCCTGAATAAACCATTAGAAAATGTGGGCCGTGATAGAAATTCTTTGAAAAACACTAGAAATTACTAATTTCGTTCCATACACTGTCAAGACCCTGAGTGAAACATTTTTTTTTTAAAGGCAGGTGATTCTAAAAAAAAACGCTTACAATTTACCTATTTTTTAATAATACAAAACTATATAACACTAATAACTCAAACTCTTCAAAACGGCGCCAGAATCTCAAATGTTGAAGCGGCATGCATGGGAGATCTAAATAAAGTGGGGTAGGTAACAGTTTATAAATCGAGCGATTGAGATCCCACTGTTTACCCATAATGGTTTTGTTTGTCTGTTGCAAAATCAAATTTTCTTCCCGTTTGAATATTTTTCTACACTTCAATTTTGCTTTTATTAGCTTCTAGATTTCGCTTTTAAAATCAGTCCATCCCGTTGCAATCTACCCTCTCCCCCCCGCCACCTGATGTTAGCGTCAATGCTTTTCGAAATGAAACCACCGCCTCCATCACAACCGCGTGTCCGTACCCACCCCATCCCCCTTCAAAAAAATCCGACAGTGCAATAACTGACGTCATTCTTTAAACACATCTTAAAATTTCCTGAGGAAAAATTATTATTCTTGTCATTATTATAGCTGTACATGTAAAAGGTACTCCAACTAAATTATTCTCCTCCATACAAAAAGAACAATATCGTAACACAAATCTCGCAAGTCCTCCATTCAAACATTTAACAATACCATGAACTATATCTTTAAAATAGTTTTTTTAACGTCTACGTGTTTGTACAATGTAGTATTGCTTATTTTTTTTGTACTGAGATAAGCACGATACATTGTATTTATGTTTAGCAACACACACAAGCATTTGTAAATAAAAAAGAGGAGAAAATAATAGCAAACTTCGACACGAATATGCAGCTTAACAAAGTATTAAATTTTGCATAATACAATTTATAAGTATCTGATACTGAATAGCCCTAACAGTCCTGAATCCTCCAATTTCAATATGATTTTGCACACCCCCTAGGGTTAATCAATGTTACTTTTACGGCCATACAAATACGCAACCTACAGCGTGCGTTTCCCGCACTGACCAAGCGAAACCCAGACTTGAGCAAGTCTACTTGGCTGCAGCTAGCTGGGTGCGCTGATCTGAGCATCGCCGAATTTGTAAATGCGTTAACGAAACTAGAAATTGGACGGCAGAGGGCGTTATTACATAGTTTCGGCGGATTAAAGCCATCACATCACTAGCGTATATCGCATACGTCCCAGCCTCGACTCCAGGGGCACGTGCTCGTTCCTTACACTAACCCCTGGCTGTGATGATGACGTAAATGACGCTGAATGGCTATTCACAGCGTACTGCGCGGGCATTTCAAAGATTGCACGCCGGGCGCGCCCATAATGCGCTCGCGCAAGCATTGGCAAGACACACAGGCGCTCTCGGTTGCTATAATTCGTCGGATCAGTGCGCGACATCGCGTATAGCTGCAAAAATCAAAACAATTCAAAACATGATTCAGCAACTTTTGATTTGAAATTGAGATCCTAGAATGCTGTTTTTCTCGGAATATACAGCTGAAGCTGAGCTGAAAGTTCATCAGGTTAGTTGTTCAGTATCCTTCATTAGATTTTGAACACGTTTGTTGCTTCAAACGAACTGCACAAATTACAAATGATGGACTATATCTTTAAATTACTAGAGCGCTAACTCCTCGCTGCGCGCGGAGACGCTTTGAAGCCATAGATATAGAATAAAAAGACTAGATCGGCAGCGCGTCCACACGCGCAGACTTGTATGGAGGGTCACGTGCTGGAGGAAAGATACAAATTGCGCGCTAGACGTGACGAACGCAACGCCGTTGACGCGCACAATGCGACGGTTTATTTCTGTTACTGTACTTGAGACCGTCAATGCTAATAAAAACACAATAGATAAGATGACACCGTTCCCATAACGTTGAAGCACCAATCTACCCTTGTTGCTTATGCACATGGGCGTCGCGGGGGGGGGGGGGGGGCAAGGGGGGCACCCCCCCTGGAAAAGCCAAAAAAAAAAAAAGGAAGAAAAAGAAAAGAAAAAAAAGAAGAAAAAAAAAGGCGCGAAGACAAAGTGTTGTAAATTTAATGAGTTGGGGGGGGGGCAAAATGTCCCTGCCCCCCTCTAAAACTGATGAATAGAGAATGTGTTGAGAAATACAAGCATTTTTTGGCCCCCCTCTAGAAAAAATCCTGGCGACGCCCATGCTTATGCAATCAGTATCTCTTGAACATGAATGCTTATGATTATGACTAGGGCTAGCCCGACTGCGTCTGGCCGTACAGTACTATCGCAAGCTCTGTAGTACGGCCAGACGCCCAATGCTTCCAAAAAGACTGAAATTTTTTGGCCGCTGATGTAGCGATTTTGCTACAGATTTCGATCGAAATTGTCTTTTCATCCAGGACAAACATTTCCAAAGTTAAGGTTCTTAGTCGTAGAGCAACTCATACCTTTTCGAAAAAACGTTCTTTGGTCTCAATATTTTCATCCATCTGGCCAAAAGACGACTTTCAGTCATCATCTTCCACAAATATCGTCCCGAAAATGCTCCCCCATGCGATTTCAAAATGGCGGCCGCGCTGTAATGTGTGCATTATGCGAGCGCGCTTGGGCAAGATAATGAATATGCATTATTTAGATCATGACCTCGTGTTTGTATGGCCAGCCGCGCCGAGTGTCCGACAAACGTCATAAACTATGATGCATATTCATTATCTTGCCCAAGCGCGCTCGCATAATGCACACATTACAGCGCGGCCGCCATTTTGAAATCCATGGGGGAGCATTTTCGGGACGATATTTGTGGAAGATGATGACTGAAAGTCGTCTTTTGGCCAGATGGATGAAAATATTGAGACCAAAGAACGTTTTTTTGAAAAGGTATGAGTTGCTCTACGACTAAGAACCTTAACTTTGGAAATTTTTGTCCTGGATGAAAAGATAATCTCGATCGAAATCTGTAGCAAAATCGCTACATCAGCGGCCAAAAAAATTCAGTCTTTTTGGAAGCATTGGGCGTCTGGCCGTACTACAGAGCTTGCGATAGTACTGGACGGCCAGACGCAGTCGGGCTAGACTAGGGCCTACTTGGCTTTAATTGTCTTAAAACAGATTTATTTTGCAGAAAATAAACTGATTATCCCATAGCCAAAATGAAAAGCGGCACGCGTAAATACTCGGTGCGCATTTCTAGCTTCGCGCGAGTTGAGCTAGGTCACGTGCTGGAGGAAAGATACATTTAGCTCCATTACTTTACGTTGATTTGTTGCAACCTCGTGCCCCGTGGGTACGATTTTGCAGCGCCATGTTGTTTCCCATCATGCCTTGCGCGATCATTAGTGTAAGGAACGAGCACGCGCCCCTCTGGAGTCGAGGCTGGATTTGTTGCGTGTCCACTCGGAGAGACAACAAAAATGGCGGAGATTTATCGCACAGTGAATGGGCGCGTGTGGATGCGCTGCCGATCTAGTCTTTTTATTCTATATCTATGTTTGAAGCATAGATATAGAACTTAAAAACTAAGTTCTATATTTATGGTTTGAAGCCGTCCCGGGCGCAGACATTTTGAAATCATGTGCGTGTTTGTAGAACAAAATGAAATTAGATGGATTGAATTTTGAAAGTGTACTCTACATGCAACGCGCAAGTAGAACTACGCAAACAACTTAAAGGGGCACTTGGTCCTGAAATCACCGAAAATTGTATGTTATGGATTGTTTACTTAGCCTATTTCAAACATCTGGTTGAAAGGAAACCAACCTAATGTCTTCCGTTCCCGAGAAAAGACGGGGAAAAAAACGCTTGTTTACATCGGACATGACGGAGCACGAATACGTTTTTCGTGTCGTTCTAATTCTCAGTGTACGATATACACGTGTGTCTCAGGAACAGCGGTGACCAATCACCATCAATGCAAAAATAGTGGTTTCTTCAACGTCCGCAAAAGGCGAACACTTACTTTACAAATGAAATCACAACTAGCGTCCAAACAGCTCGAATTTACGGGGTCCTAAAAAGTGGACCCCGAAATTCGTTCTCGCACGCATAATACAGGAATAACACAGAAACGCCCAGTTTTGAAAGGATAGTTGTGAGGATGTTTATATCCTACTTTTAAATGTTATTTCCGATTAACAGTATCTCGTTCAAAGCGCGTTTTGTAGCCCAATTGGGCTGTTCAAGGACCTAGTTCCCTTTAATTTGTCACTGTGTGACGATTTGTTTATCCATTAAAATATTCCACCGTTGAACAAACCTTCGGTTCTACACTGCCGGTATTGAGACGCGACAATCATAATATACTCACAACTACGTCAGCAGCCAGCACTGTGATGTCCACGTCATTTTCAGAATTGTGGACGAACAAAATTGGTATCCAGATTAATCCCACAAACAACAACAGAAGACACCCACAAATGATTCGAGATAACGCCATTAGTTGCATGTTTCTTCTTTCCACGGAATCGACTCATTCAGTCATTACTCGTGATGACACGCTTCATTTTCAACTATATAAGCGCATCGATTTTAAATATGCAAATTAATAGCCGCCACATCGATCACATCTGCCGATTATTTTAGTACAGAACGTACGAAGCATGCAACAGATGTGAGTGTAAGATGTGAGTGTGAGTTGATTTTATTAGGCCTATTGGCCGTCGGTACGTGTACGCGTTATGATATTTATAACGAAGCCGTTTAATTAATCCTGACTCCTTGGCATGTGTGGGAACAAAATCCTATCAAAATTGAAGGATTCGGGACTGTTATAATGGGGTAACTGAGTGCTGGTAGGCCTATACGTTATAAATGAGTACATCACATGTGTAAAGTTGGTATGGAACTGGATTCAGTGCATGAATAATGTGGATGGCGCTTCGTGACCACCATGCAATGAACTACAATACCGGTGTCGTACGGAAGTTTGGACTCCTATGAAATCTGGTGTTTGTTTTACCTTACCCTAAAACGTGAACTGTCACTGTTCTCATTATCGTCACCTAGGCATGCGTAATACCATGTATAACCATAGCCTTGGTCAATGCTCTCGTCGTTATTCGTCCCGTACGCGGTCAATCGTCGGCATATATCCTCACGCGCTATGCACATGCATGTAAAAATATAGCGCGAACAGCGACCTCATGCGGCCACTATTTTTTATGCAAATCAGGTTGGGACGATCTCGAGCCTTGGTTCAATCGTCGGCAAAAGCTTATGTTTTTCTTTATTTTGCGCTGGATTTCTAGCGCACGACCTCGTATGCGAATACAGATAAGTGTAGGCGGGGCTAATATGTGGAGTGTCCAATCACACCTTGGTAAATCCGGACGTCATCAAATTATTTGCAGCTATTCGCCTTTTGCGGACGTGACAGGAATCACAGTTTTTGTGCATTGGTGCCGTGTGCAGAGACACACAACGTGTACGTGTCTGGATTATGTACGGTGCCACGTTTCACTATGCAAGTTTCCACGCAACGATCGACCAATAAGAAAACGACATTTAAGGTCAGCTAAGGCTATTAACATAATGAGCACCACCCCCAAAAACTCACATGGACGATTGAACCAAGGCTCTCGATCGTCCCCAACTGATTTGCATATAAAAATAGTGGCCGCGTGAGGTCGCTGTTCGCGCTGTATTTTTACATGCATGTGCATAGCGCATGAGGACTATACATGTATGCCGACAATTGACCGCGTACGGGACGAATAACGACGAGAGCATTGACCAAGGCTAGTATAACCAATGAGTTTGTATTTCTTAGCGTCAACATTTCACATTACACCGCATAGCATTGTTCACGTTAAAATGCATACATCGTGCTCTTCAAAATTTTGAATTGTTTCTTCTAATTCCAACGAATTTTCAATTTACTTTATTCGGATTATTCCCATTTGCAACCCTCTGAAAATGGAATTTCATTTTGTGCACAGTATGACGAACCAGCACTGCGAGAGCCGAATGAGTTAGCTTAAGTACGGTCGGAACAAGTGAACACGGCGGGCGGATTACTATTTCACGCGGGCGGATTACTATTTCGCCCGGGCGGATTACTATTCCGCCCGGGCGGATTACTAATTCGCCCGGGCAGACTACTAACTCGCCCGGGAAAATTAGTAATCCGTCCGGGAGTAATTCGCCCGGGCGAATTAGTAATCCGCCCAGGCGAAATAGTAATCCGCCCGGGCGAAATAGTAGTCCGCCCGGGCGAAATAGTAATTCGCCCGGGCGAATTAGTTATCCGCCCGGGCGAAATAATAATTCGCCCGGGCGAATTAGTGATCCGCCCGGGCGAAATAGAGGGCCGGATTTTTTTTTGTTTTGGTCATGTCCTAAATACGCTTCCGTATAAATACACTTCCGTAGCTGGGAGTGGCTTACTCGCAAACGGCGATAGGTCAATTGGTAACGGAATGGTGCTTGGTACGGTCATTATACTTCCCTTCAAAAAAATCCTCCGGAGCCATTAATCAGACAAAAGTGATTTTGATTTCATCTGTCAGTAGGACTTGCTTAGTAGGACTTAATTAAACACAATTTCGGAAAAAAAATCACTTCTGGGGGAAAAGAAAAAAAAAGAAGTAAATTTTATGTGAGTCGAACCGCAACATGCAGCATTGTGTATGACAATTGTGACCTCTGACCTAAGCAGCGCGCCGATTTTACTAAAAGAACCTATTTTTATAGCTTTCCTTGGAAGATGTTGCACTGAGTGAGAAATAAAGATTAGGCGAAGTAAAAAAAAAACATGTTTCTCGTCCCCACCCGCTTCCTTTTTTTTGAAAAATGCAGTAAAAAACACCGAAAAAGTCCACAAATTTATCGGAAAATAAATACTTGCGAAATATGTGACCAATACAACTCTAAATGACCGTATGTTCAGTTTTCTTGTCCAACTTGTCTTTCATTTTAAAAGTGCCCTTGAACAGTGGAAGCACCAACGGTTGCAGGAAAGTTTTAAATGGCGACCATCTTAAAAAAAAAAAAAAAAAAAAAAAAAGCCACTCCTAGTCCTCCTTTTTTTTTCAAACCCGGACGAGAAACATGTTTTGTTTTATTCGGCCTTATAAACAGGCATTCAAATATGAATGAGATTTTAATCATTTGAGTCAAAACTGAAACATTCTTTTTACTGTCAGATGGAGAGTTGTGTTTTGATTGAATATTAGGAAGAAGTCAACTCTTTTCCCCTACAATATTGATGGCGATTTTCAAGTGTCTGTTTTCCTATGCAAGTTTTCGTTCATTCATGGAGGTGGGAAAACATCCATGTTTCATAGTAATTAATGGGTATTCATCAGTTTGTAGAAACGGTAATTGATCAGTGGTGGACAACTGAATTTTGTGATCTTTTTATTAAAATAATCATAACTTGGGAATAGTATGCATATTACGTGACATTTTCACAGTTATACTATATAGTCAATAACATGTACTTTATCCCTATAATATTTTTTGTGAAATGGATGGAGCAAGCCTCATATTTTTTTTAATATTGTTTGCATAAGTCTGTCATTTTCTTTTTGACTGAACCTGGACAGTACAGTGCATTAAGTAACTAGAGAACGGGTAGGATTGATGGTAATGGGGGAAGGAGAGGATAGGACAGAGTGGAACACACTGGTTGGGCAGGGTAAACGACGGTATATGTGTAGTTGATTTTCTACTGTTGTAATTACGTGTGTAGCTACCCATGAAGTAGGCCTATATTAAAATACTTTAAAAATAGGTAAGTGGGAAAGCACAGCAAAACATACAAATGGGCGATTCCAGCGTCACTCGCATTTCACTTTTTTGCATCCTCTTTCAATCTTAGTGGTGTACTTCTTACAAAAATGAGAACTACTCTTTCTTTTTTGGTTTGAAAATACTCAATAGGCCTATATAAGGCTTTAACCCTATGGAATTATGAAAATTTAATGATACTAAATATGAGCATGGCACTGTTGGGAAAAACCGTCACTCGCATTTCGTGAAAAGGACATGCCAAAAATTGTCTTGGTTTTAATTGAAACGTCTCCTCAAACCAAATGTACCACAACCAAAAGGTTATACCTACCATACTGAGGTATAAATGAGGGTAAGAAATATCTTCAACAATATAACTGTATTTAAGTTAGAGGGGAAAAGTGCCGTCACTCGCATTTCCGTCACTCGCATTTCAGTTTGTCCGTTCATTAAGTTATGAACAAAATGAAGCTTTTCCTCCACAATTCTTATCAAGTCTTAGCTAATTCTTTTTAAACAACCTTTATAAACCGTTTCAGTGTGCCCAAAATACTAATTGCCATGAAAAAAAGTATTTTAATGTAAAGGGGGAAAATGTCGTCACTCGCATTTCCGTCACTCGCCTTTCAGTTTGTCAATTAATAAAGTTGTGAACAAAATGAAGCTTTTGAATTCCTCCACAATTCTTTTCAAATCTTGGCTTTGTCTTTTCAAACAACCTACAAAGTTGTTTAAAAAGACTCAAAGTATTAATTACAATGAAAAAAAAAAATGTTTTCAGAAATATTTACAAATATTCTGTAATTTAATAATCCACAGCCGCAAAGGCACTAGCTCTCTACTTTCTGCAGTCCCATGCTTAAGTTGTTAGAAAATGAATTGTGTTCATCCATTCATGTACTTTTTGAATGAACTCACAACCTTAGGAGCAGGAGCATGAATTATTTGACCAAAATTGACTTTCAACAGTTAACTTACAAGTTTTATTTGTGTAGGGTCAGAATGTTCATATAGAAATAAAACTTGGAACTGTTCTTATGGAGATACAATGCATCATGGGTACCATAAATGATGCCTGCCTTTTAAAGGTCGAAGACAATATGCATACTTAGTGCATACTATGCACTTCCCTCAATATTACCATCTAAGGGTTTCTCTGTCTGCATTCTTAATAATAGAAAGTGATATCGTCAGTCGCATTTCATTTGTCACTCGCATTTCATTTGTCACTCGCATTCAAATTTCAAGGGCATAATGTGCTGGGTTTTTGGTTTTAATACTTGTTGCGTTTATACTTGGTTTTGGTGGGAGAAGCAAATTATCAATTGTCAGCAATATAATCACTACCAGTTTAAAATAATAATAAAAAAGAGATCTTTTCGTCACTCGCATTTCATATGGCTAAGCGTCCACAGCTGTGCACCTACATGTCTTCAAGAAAAGTCGTGGGCAGTTTTTTATTTTATTGTTTTTAAGATATAAAGTCATACTACTAAATTGCATAATAAGTTTGTGACTAATGCTTTTCCAAGAAAAATATGAAAACGAATGATAATGCACATAAAGTAGTACATTTTATAAGCCATGAATTTGATTTTTTGGGGCCATGTCCCTGTTTGCTTGGAATTGCCCAAATACATTATTATTAATATTTTATTTCTCTCCACATGAATAGATACAATAACGTTACAAACCCACACAAAAATAAGCACAAGAAAGAATAGATGTGGTCATGTGGAGAAGGCAAGACAGTGGAGGCAACCAATTTCCATAACCCGAAGGTACAGTCTGCCCATTTAAAATGTGAAGTGAAGGGAAAATTGACAGGAAAACAAAAGTTTAAATAATTACGAAAGATAACAAATATTCAATTATTATTACACTTATTATTAAATTTAAGTTTGTCATGACTGTAAGGTAAATACATTTAAAAAGAAAGAAAGAATAAGGATATTCAAAGGAAATTAAGAAAACAAGTATTTCAAACCAATTATTTAGTAAATATACCTATATACCAGACTGGAAGAGAGGAGCGAGAACATATTAAATACCAAACCCTGCACAGCAGTACCCCTGCACCCTACCCTACTCACACTACGTTTTAGATGTATATAAAGGAAACAACTGCATTAATTTTTGGTTGATTTTCAAGTGGAAAAAAGTTTGTTTTTATATTTAAAAACAACAAATTAAAACAAGTATACACAAAACATTACCAATAAAATTGATTCTATTTCCCAAACTAAAATTTAACTTCTTTTAACAGAATAAAAAGCGTTGCAACCGGCATGAATCCGGTCCGTCGCAGGAGGGCAGGGAGATAACTCTCAAGTCCGTCAAAAACCTCGCCACGGTTTGCCCGCGAAAATGAAAAAAAAAAACAGATAAAACTTCAATCCAGCCGTGAAACGTGCCTGCCTAGCCTGCGCCTCCACTGCAAACAAAAGGCCAAATGGAATACAGCCTCGCCTGACGTCACTCTTCAATTACGGCCCGGTAATTCGAGAACTGAGGGCAGTGTGCTCACTCCCTCTGTTCTCGCACGATACCTACTTGTTTTTGGCCACGTTTGTGTTTAAAACGACTCATTATCAAAACTGGTTTTGTAAATTATTTTACTTATATATTTATTGTCATTAAATTTCTATTCTTTTGTAGTTTATTGCTGAAATCAAAGTATCCGAGCAACCATTTTCTTGTCTGCGCAGAGGGCCTATGAGAAAGCCTTATCGAAAGCAGCATGAAAAGAATGCTAGGGACAGTCCACCGCCCAGGAATGTAGTGTCCTACCGAGGCAGCATGAATTAGTCCTCAAATAAATGAAGAATAGGTAATTCCTGCGCGCCCATTATCACCTGGGAAACTTGGGTTAGTTTTGAAATTGAGTCAAAAAATTATGAGGACGATAAAAAAGTGTCGGGTGGACATTTTTGGGGTGTTTTTCGCCTTGCCAGGCGCATGGATTTCTCGGTCTAAATATTTGTAATGTCGCCTTTTTATTTTGCTAGCATTTCAGCCATGCAGAATGTGCGCCATAAGAAATACGTGTGATGAAGTCTTTCCGACGATTCACGAAGATTCGGTGTTATTCTCCAAATCACTCTTCGAAAAAAACACGTGTGTCGGACAGAAGATACGCAAGGCGGTTATCTATGATACGTTGTGGACTAGCACCGGCCGCGCTGCCACTTATTCGGAGGAAGGAATACTGGGGCTAATTTGTTCCCAGTATGGCAGCTAAAGTCGCTGGAAATGTCAATTGCGATCAAGAAATTAACTCTCGACCGCAGGGCCAGCAAGCAGCAAACAACACAATGGACAACGCCGTACCAGACTTTAGGCCCTCATCCCGTAACAACACCGGTGGGGAGGGGGCGAATGGGCCTACTGACAGTCAAGGAACTGGTATGAATAATGCCATGAGTTCGGCTGGCCAACCGCCAGGAAATATTGGGACTGAGATCGGAACAAAGACTGCTAGCAGTGTTGGAACTGGCATGCCTGGTTCGAACTCTGCTATTCTGCAAGATGGCCATCATGTCGGACAAAGTGGTATGACTTCGGGCCATCATCCCTCACAAAATCGAAGTTTAGACCCATATGCGGGGCCAGGAGGAACATTTCAGAGCAACACTAGTAATAGCAGTGTGCACAACCAATTAGTGGAAAACTCTGGTCTGAAGTCTGCTCAAAACACGACGGGTAGTGAGGGCTACAACGGTGGTTATTATGGGAATCGAAATACTGGATACGGCATGCAAAACCAACATGGCGGACATCAGACAGGAAACGGACCGCCGAACTCTGCATTAAACATGAATCTAGGCCTAGGTCCAAATCAGAATCAAAACATGACCAACAGTCCGTATAACCAATACGATGGGCACATGGGATCCAGGCAGGGATATTCCCCAATGGTAATGGGGTCTAACGTTAACGTTAGGTCGGGTCCAAATGCCCCGTCCATGCCACCCAGTTACGGATCATCACACCAACAGCAACAGAGATCGTACGGCGGCGATCGAATTTCGAATTCTGCTCCAACCCTCTCTCAACTTCTTCAAGGCCAAAAACATGTGCCAAACTATTCAAGCAGTTATCCCAGTCCCGGGGATAGTTTGGGCAAAGGGTCAGATGGAGGAGGATCAATTGGAATGATGTCAAACCAAGGGTCAGGGACATTCCACCAGTCGCCTCAAAATTGGGGACAAAGAAGCAGCGGTATGCCCCAAGTTCACCCACAGTCGACGAGTGGAAGCGGCTATGGCCAAAACATGGGCAGAAACCAGGTTAGAAAATGTCAGCATTTGTTCTTCCCTTGGTAGGCCTAGGAGTAGGAGTACCAGCTGGCACTGGCATGACTGGTGGCAGATATAAATCCATATTTTATTGCTTTTTTCCTGCAAAATTTAGGCAATTTTGATTTTGTGTGTGTGGATGAATTGTATTCATGATGCTCTTATTTGTCAGTTGATTCATAGAGCAAGGGTTGATTGTCATCATGGTTGTACCAGAAGTGTCCGGCGTTAACTGCACATGTGCAGCAGTCAACATGGTCGATATGAATTATGAGTGCAAGTGCAGCATGTACATTCATGTATGTAGTTACGAATACGAGATAATGCACGTACTTGTAGGTCTCTCTCAAAGACAGCCATCTCTGTAGAACTGCAACTGCGTATCTTACGCAATCAAGCACGCATTGTGAAGTGTTAAAATTGTTCCAAACACGTGCACTTGTTGCTTGAAATGTTGTTTGATGCACGTTATGCAAGTTGCCGCTCAAAATGCCGATGCACGTGGCTGGTCTGTAGGAAATGACATCCTTTAAGAGAGATGCATATTGCAGTGGATACAGGACCAAGAGGGGGCACTGAGCCTTTATAAAAATGTTCCAATATTCGGAAATTTAGTTGAACTTGTACTGCCTGCTAAAAAGTTGTGTTGGAAGCATTAACAACTTTAAGATGTCATTCATACAAAATGTACACATACATGCATACGAATCCCCCATGCATACATGTGGAATGATGCAACTGTCCAGTGAAAGCATTACCCATTTACTTCGCAGGAAATTATATATGGTAGGATGAGGCAAAAACCAGATAGTGAAAGGATCATTGTAAGGTGCCAACACTACAGGCCCCCAAAAATTACTTGTGCGTAGGCGTGGGTGACTAGTGAATTTCAGTAGTTAGGAAAAAAAGTCGCGACTAGGCGGGACTAGTTACACATCATATATTTATCCAGTAATAGCTCTGGTCAATGGACCTTTTGTTTTCACCTGATCAGCAAGCTTTCCTAAAAGCACATACGGCATACTGTAATTTGCCGTAAATTAATACTAGAATGGTTCCCGCTGTATTAACCCTGACCTTCCTCAATCCTCCAAAGTCCTCCGGGCGGATTTGAAGGATTGAGGCTGAATGCAACAATTTTGGAGGATTGTGGAGGATTGAGGGCACATGGACATATTCAGTATCGGTTGATTTTTAAGGATTGAGGCTGAATGGTGTTTGAAGAAGAGGGGGATTTTGGAGGATTTAGGCTGAATGCATTTTGAGAGGCAGGGCTGTTAAATGATTTTAAAGAATTGAAGCAGTGCGTATCCTTCATTTGAACATTTAAGTGCAATATTTTGAAGAATGTTGGAGGAGTGAGGATTTTCCTAGCAAAAGTTTATACTCCTGGTTGGAAAGGGGCAATTGTAGTAAAGTGTCTTGCCCAGGAACACAAGCACCATGTTCCGCCAAAGGGTTTGAACACGCGTACCATAGCACATGATACGAACACCGTAACCATTGGGCCACAGCATGACCATTGGGCCACAGCGCTCCACACCAGAGTTATACAATGTCAAATAAGTTAGTTTGGCACCCTCGCCCATCACCCTGCGTTTGTTACAAACACAAACACAAGCCTCCAGTTATTATCTTGATATGGCCAGGTGGTTCAAAGTCCCTGAAATGTCACACAAAATGGTGAAATTCACGAGAATTTCACTTTCCGAGATCACAGGAATACCCAGCCGCCATGTCATCGTTGGCTGTCGACTGATGGCGCCTTAACTCTCTTGACCAACTACAGCGTGGCTTTCAATTGATCACGTGAGGGAAAGAAACACTTGTTGGATGTTCACACAGGAAACAGTTGTCGGAGAAACTTTTCCTGTTCGTGCCTTCAGAGGAGAGTGTGGTCACTGTGGTGGCCTCAAAGTGACAACTGTTATTGTTAAATGGCTCCATTGCTATCATTGTTAATTGACGTTTAGTAATCAAGTTATTTTACTGTAACATTTGTCACTTTGAGGCCACCATAATCCCCTCTGCATGCACGCTGAGAGTAACAGTTTCTGCAATGACTTTCCTGCGTAGACATCTAACTAGAGTTTCTTTCCCCTCATGCAATTAATTGAAAGCCTTGCTGTGGTTGGTCAAGGGAGTTGAGGCGCCCTCAGTCAACAGCCAACGATGGCAGCCAAGTGGACATTCATGTGATCTTGTAAGCAAAATTCTCGTAAATTTCACCATTTTGTATGACATTTTAGGGATTTTGAATCAGTGCTTGGGTACCTACTACATGTTTATGATAATAAATACTTGGGCCAAAATTAATACGAGAGTGAATTACAAACAAAATTTACAATTTTCTGCCATAGCAACTTCATAGCCTTTCTGTAAGGTTTGTAAAACATTCAGTTCTAGAAACTAATTGTTAAGCCCTAAATTTTTTTACTTTTGCAACCAGGTGCCTGACCAACCCTATTTTACCAATTGACCCTACACTTTTTAGTGGCAAGTTTAAAAAAAACTATGTAAAAAAAGTTATAAATTGCATTTGTGTTGTCCATTCTGTCTTACCGAAATTGCCTCTCAAAAAGCTTTTTTGCGTAAAAAAAATGCTTATAACATTTCTGCAGCCCGTAATCATCGTTTGCTTCTTTACAATCGCTGATTCGCAGGAATCTTCTTTCCGTCGCAGTGGTGAAACAGAAGCACATGCTGCTTGCAGTAATGGTCGACTGGTTCCTATTGCTATAATAGCCACAGGCCAAGAATGGTCTACAGCACTGGGTGTACACGGCCTACATTACCCACATGGTAATGGGGTTGGATTTTGGGGTTGGATCGTAAAAATGTCACGCAAACATTGTTCAAAAGAAGGTTTTTGTACGAGATAAATCACAGTACTTTTGTGATATAAGAATGCGTAAAATGTACAGCCTCTGCTTTAGTTTTACCAAATGGGAATTTTCTGTGGTCACGTGTGTGACATTTTGATCGGTCACGTGTGTGTAACATTTTGTAATTAAATATGTGCTAATTTATGCACAGAAAGACCAACTTTTGAATATCTTAAGAAATTTGCATCTTTATTTATTAGCAACACTGTTGAACAATAATCATTCTCATTTTAAGTCAGTACTGTTGACCTAAAATATTGTTTTCTTCTGATTAGAAGTAAAATTTGATAATTTTATGGTGTAAAATTTGGTAATTTGGTTATTTGGTTATTTTTGCTAAGAATCGTGTTTCCAAATATCCGAACTGAACAATTCAGTTTGGTTCGGTTTGGAGTGCTATGTTCGGCGAATTTCAGTTTAGTTCGGCAGTTTAGCTGCAGCACTACTCCTGCAGCAACTCGTTTTGACATTCCAATTTGTTATCGAGCCTGAACCGAACCCTAACTGAACTTGAGGGCTCACTTGCAGCACTATATTTTTTCTCAATTTCCTAACAAAATGATGTCAGCAGATAAATGTATTATTACTTATTAAAGCCACCGCTATACTTTAACCCTAACTCCCTAGGCCTTTTTGCTAGGATGTAGCCTCAATCCTGCAAAAGCCTCCAATTGGCCTCATGGAAAAATAGCATATATATATAGCCTCAATCCTGAAAATTCCTCCATTATTTCTTGAATATGGTCCGTGGAGGGGTGACTGCGGCATTGACTGTCAATATGTTGAGGCTTGGCCAGTGACATCCTGGAGCAGTACGGAGGATTTCAAGCATAATCCAGGCCTATATTTATGCATGGCTGAGCAAAGACAACACAAGGTCTGGCCCAAGACCTTGACGAAGTGCATCCTACGAAATCAGTAACGCACTTTTGCCATGTAACCTCAATCCTCCAAATTCCTCCACTTTGGCAAAGAGGATTTTGAAGGATTCAGGGCGGTTAGGGTTAAAGCGCAAAGAGTATACGTGTGTGTTTGTTCACAAGTTTCGCACGTGATCGCCTACAAAGCGCACGTTCAACTATATGTGTTAACATTTTGTAAGTCTTATTTTGTAAATGAGAAACTTTGAAAAACTATAAAATGAGAAACTTTGAGAAACTGTTTGTTGAAATAGCTGCTTTGCGTACAATGTGTACAAAGAGTGCTGTTGAAGATCAGAAGCAGCTGAGCATTGATTCTTAGTCATTATATTACAAAATCTGAGGGTCTTTGTTTTTTTATTTGAAAATGCCAACGTTGACTAGAAAACAGTAGTTTACCTTTAACTGAGAAATAATTTTGAAGGCCTTTTTTCTGTTTACATTTTTTGACATGGAAAATTAATTGATCGTTTTACATGCCTGTACAAAACAAAAAGATGCAAAGCAGTTTGGTGTTGCCCTGTTTCACAAACAATCAAATGATATGTGTACTCAGTGTAGCTACATTTACGTGTACATGTACATGTATGGACTGTCAGATAGTAGACATTTACAGGCACCCCCCTCCCCTACAGGTAACATTGTGGATACATCATCATGATCATAATAGCTTGTGTGCTGATGATAGTCATATAATCAGAACATTACCCCTGTCCTATATGAGGGGAAATCTATGAATGAAGGCCATGTGGTTGATTGGAATGTGTGGAATGTAAATGCCACCTGGTCTGAGTCACAGTAGAGGTCAGCCACAAGGGGATTACCCCACAATCCAGCCTCAGTCATGTGACCTGTACTCTACAGATTTTCTGTTTACACTTGGGCATTAAATAATTCAGGCTTTCCCCATTGTGCAGGACTGTATTTGAAGATAATAGTCTGGACTATTTTTAGAACAGTGCCCCAGATGAATTTGCAGGGCAGCAGGTTTTGAGTTGCATACTGCCAAAGTGAACTGCTTGAGTAAACACAGTCTTATGTTGGGATTGCCCTTTTGATTCATACTGCTTATCATTATTATGGTAATGATGGGGTTTCCCTTTGTCAGCTGTAAAATGGAAGATCCTTAGGAGTGAGTGGTATCACTCAGGGGGAGAGAGGATACATGTAATAAGCACAAGGTTTT